CACCTCCCCGTCTCCTTCGTCCTCGCCCAACCTCCCTTCCTACTGATCCATCGGTCAATCTAACATTACAGTTGAGCTAGCCCGAGGCAAAAACCTCGAAATCAAGCCCTCCCTCGCCCGATTCCTCAGAGAAACGAGAGAGTAAGCTTCGTTTCCCTCCATCCCTGCTATCGCTATATCTCCCGTTACCTTCGCGCGGTCTACCTTCTCTGCTAACTCTCATTCTACTACTTTCCCACTAATTCTAACGCAAAAATCGGGGTCGCCTGCCCCGAAAACCCCGGCTTATCATCTCTTTTAACTCAATTCCGTCAAGAATCGAGCAAAATCCCGATTCTTCACTCCCTATCGTCTCTTCTTCCACCATACCCCGGTGCACCAACTTCTTTAATTAACTTCCTTAAAACTTACTCCCTCGCCAATCTAACCTCGCCATCGAACTCGCACGACCCAAGAACTATAGATTTGCATCTTCTCTCACCCGTTTTCATTAAGAAACGGGCGAGATCGACACCTCCTACTTTCACTTCTTCTTCTCCCATAGCCATCTCCGCGCATTGATTTTTCTACTAACCTCTAATCCTACTAACTCATAGCTAGATCTGACTTCATATCCTAACTCGCAGACACCAAAACCCCCCCATATCCATCCTCCACTCATTCGATTCCGTATAGAATCGAGTGAGCACCTTACCTGTGACTGCGCCCAACCCGCTGCTCCGCCATCTCTGCTCTTTCCTTTCTCGAATGTACCTGGTACAGGCCCACGTCCAGCTTCACTCCCCCATTTTACTCATTCTGTCACTGCCGCGCCCCCCTTCTGCCTGCCTAGCGCTGCCCGTCGCTCCGCCGTCTAGTCTCACCGGCTTAGCGCCAGTTGTCCGCTGCGTGATCGCCCCGCCCGTTGCTACACAGCGCCATCTGGTCGGACTGTGCCCCTCGCCTGCTCGCACTATTGCTCCACCCCGCTGTTGCCGAGCCAGCCTCACCGCCTACTACTTAGAGCTATACCGTTGCCCCCCCTGCTACGTAGAGCTGGCCATCTCCTGCTAAGCAGCACTGCCCGCTGCGCTATCGTCCTCCCTGCTGCTGCGCAACGCGGTCTGGCCAGCCCGAGGAGGACTGTCGGGAGGATCCGGCTAGCTGCACGTCGGTCTCACTTCGCGACTCCACGAGGAGTCTCCCCTAGCCCGGTCTGCCCCTGCTGTAGTGCCGCGGGCCGCTTTTTGCCCAAGCGCCACCCAGCCTCCTTCCAGGCTCCCAGTGGGCATACTCACGCTCCACCTCTCCCAATAGATCGTGGACGGCGGGTGACACACCCGCAAAGGGGTGGGGGCCCCGCCACTTCACTCCTTCCACCCCACAAACTAAGCACCCTTCTCCCCCGGCTCGCATGCACTTCGACCCCTCGGTCCGTGATAAAAAACACGCCGTATAGAGGAGTTTCGCTAGCATCCTAAATACGCAGGAACCCGTCGGCCCTATCGAAAGAGGCGCGTACTCAAGGTCCTCGGCTGTCGCGGCGGCCACTCGTGGCCGACCCGATGCCCGACTTACAAAAGTCAAACGTAGAGTCAAATAATGACGACGATAGATAATAAAAAGGATAAAATACACAACTTTTTATCGTCGAAATATGGCGAATGAGGAAAAGAGGACCGCTAGTCTCGTTCCGACACTTCTAGCGACAAAACCAAGGGGGATAACCCCGCCGGGTCCTCAACTCATCGGCCTCTTTGCACTAATCTGATACCCCCGCGTCGTCACCGCTCGATCTCGATCCCTGAATCTCCTCGATGAAAGTCCGACGTTGTAACCAATAGCGCTAAGCCTGAATCTGGGTCTAGCTCTGGCGGACGCCTAAATAACCGGCCAACGCGCGACGCGCGGGTCTACTGAAACGCTTTCAGAAGACACTTTGTTGTCGATGTCGTCCTCCGTACGTACGCATGGGTCACAGGTAAGTGCATTAATCAAACAATAAAAAATTGTTTAATCCTAGTTTAATCAAAATTTAAAATTTGACCGGCGCCCACGCCGGCTCTTCAGTCATCAAACATAAAAATCACGCGCGCCTCGAGCCTGCGGGCCCGCACACTCTCTGCTCTAGTCAACCATCCCGCCAATACAAACCTCAGACTCAACCGCGCCTTGCGCGGTATTCTTGGACTTTAAACCAAGCCTATTTTCTGTCGCATGCAAAAAATAGGGCGGATACCCTTGTAAGGGTTCGCACCGACAACGCTGGACATTGTTTCCAAGCCGAATGGTCTAACATTGTGCCATATGTAAATTGGGTATAGGGGTTGAATCATCTAAGGCTTTTATGAACTATCTTATAAAGTAACTTGGGGTTGGTGAGAGTACTTACCTTTGTGGTTTGGTCTTGCATGGGGTTGAGTGAGACTACTGCTTCGTCTAAGTTTCAGCTTGATAGGTAGTTGCTTTAGTTGCTCGCCACGTGCTAGAGCCAAAGGAGTTAGTTTCACTTCCTGCATTTTCTGAGCTAAGTTTTTTTCACTTAGGTCAATTTCTGCATTTTCTGAGGACTTCTATTATACTTGATCTTGTATAAATCTTGGTAAGCCACTTTCTCTACACGAAGCGCTGCCCAAATTTCTACAAAACCAAGGAGTTAGTCAAATTTTGTCTTTTTCGGGGTCCAGGTTTTTTAACTTTTTGGCTTAGTAAAAATTTGAAAAACCTCATTTTCTAAAGGGAGTGCTGCCCAAATTTTTGCTAATTCAGAAAGTTAGACAAAATTGGACCTTGAAAAATTGAAGTCATTTTAGATTTTTAACTTAGCTTTGTAGAAATATTGGATTAGCACTTTTCCAAAGGGAGTGCTACCAAAATTTTTACAAATCTAGGGAGTTAGTTGAATTTTTGTCTTAGTTGAACTCATGTCTTGCTTCTGAGTTCATACCTGACTTAGTAAAAATCTGGAAAGGCTTCTTTTCTAAAGGGAGTGCTGCCCAAATTTTTACTAATTCAGGGAGTTAGACAAAATTTGACTTTCCAGATTTAGAGTTTGTTTTGTTTTCATATTTGAGCTATTATAAATTATGGAAAGACACTTCCCGTATGCAAAGTGCTGCCGAAATTTTCTTAGTTTAAAGGAGTTAGATTATATTTTGACAGGTGGCAATTCTAGAAATCCACCCTGAATAGGAGAAATGTTGCCATAGGTCTGCCTTGCGTTGGGCACTGACTTAGAGGCAGGTCTAGGCTTAGCTTGTAGAAGGGTCTTGGGTGAGAATGTGTTATGGAGTTGTATTCTCCATACACTTATGATTTTTTCTTGGGGAGTGGCCTGTCTTGTGTTACAGCTCTTCGAGATCAAATGATTCAAGATCTGGGTTAGATTCAGTTTGATCCTATAAGGATCATCTTCTGTTATCACTGATAACAGGTCGGTTGTCGATTCGTCGGTTTACGACTCGACTCCAATCCACTCTTGCCATTCAACCTAAAGGCTTTAGCCTCGTGATTTCAATTGTTTTGTTGTGTTTTCGCCCGGACTTTATTTGAATGGCCATTTAGCGAAAGTACTAAGTACTTTATTTTGAGGAGTTGCACAAGAGTGAGGCTTGCATGGCTAAAGCGAGGGGTGTGAGTACAGAGAATGGTTGAAGTTGACCCCGTCTAGTGCGTGGACTTTTGGTTGATTCTTTGATGTGATTTCAGGTCTGTTTGGTGGTTAAGACTTTGAATTTGGCTACCTTCGATCATATATATATATATGATTGAGAGGAGTCCCATTGTGATTGTGAGAAGTGATTATCACATAATTATAACCCTTTATATATATATATATATACATATGTCTTGGATGTTTCGCGATGCCTACTTGGACTACGCGTAAGGGTTAAACAAATCGTGCGTTTGAGAGAAGAGGGGAATCCACTTTTATCCTTTGCTTTTTAGAGTTGTGTGAGTACAGAGAATGGTTGAAGTTGACCCCGTCTAGTGCGTGGACTTTTGGTTGACTCTTTGGTGTGATTTCACGTCTGTTTGGTGGTTCGGACTTTGAATTTGACTGCCTGCGATCATATACATATATATGATTGAGAGGACTCCCATTGTGATTGTGAGAAGTGATTGTCACATAATTATAACCCTTTATATATATATAAATACATATGTCTTGGATGTTTCGCGATGCCTACTGGGACCACACGTAAGGGTTAAACAGATCATGCGTTTGAGAGAAGAGGGGAATCCACTTTTATCCTTTGCTTTTTAGAGTTTCTATGGTTGGACGTTGTAGTCCGTGGCAACCGTCAAAGTCAACCCCCTTGATTTCTCTCCAGGCCCTAGATGATGGAGTTGGTCTCCAGGGCGATAAGAGACAATTGCCACCACAAGTATGAACCTGTGAAGCACCCACTCTTCGCAGGGTGCAAAGAGGGTGTGGTTCTCAACCGCACTTGGCGGTTGTCCAGCGTCAAGAGATCAATCCCTCAAGGCGCGCGTGTCAGCCGACACTTGAGTGTCGAACGCAACCGTCAAGATTAACGAGGATCGCATGAGTATGGGTACTACATAGTACGCCATCACTGCGACCGCTTGCGTACGCTTGCATTTCGAGTCGATATGAGTTAGCCCTGCGTCTGTGTGGTTTTATACTAAGTCTCGCGTGCGATGCCTATCTGACTTCCGCATCGGAGAGTTATGGGATGGCTACTAAGGAACTAGGAGTGTTGTCGCGTTGTTGTTCAATGTCGTTCAATATATGTATATGTACGTGCGTGGGAGTGTGTGTTTTTATTTTTATGTTCTTTATAGTGGTGTGCGCGTGGCGCGTGGGATGCGTCCTAGTCGACCGGCGATGAGTCGCGCTTGGGACCTCAGCCCCCAAGATGCCGGTTCGCATGCGGGTTCAACAGAGGCGTAATACCGCGCGTACCCCCTATGCTACAACGAATGAGAAACGCCCTCGGCTGGTCCACCTCTGCGATTGCAACTGATTAGCTCTCGTACTGTGGACTGGTGTAGCTCGGCGGGGATACGCCCATTGAAAGGAGGTGACAACTCCCGTAAGATGGAGGTAAGTCGTGCCTCGCGTAGGCCCTATCCTGTAGTAGGGGCTCGCAAGGGATATGGCTGGCGCACTCGGCCGGAGCGGCTTGCGGAAGCTCCATACGCACTTGCGACGAGGATCAAACCGACTCCTGCGTGACGTGGCCGGGAGGGTCCCGCGCTGCCTTGTGCGGTGCCGGACCGATGCGCTCGACAACGCTGCTGCCTCCTCCTCCTCCTCCTCTTCCTTCATCGTCGTCGTCCTTTTTGTCTTCCTCATCGTCCTTCTCCTTCGCCATGGCCTCCTCCTCCCCAAATTTTTCTTCTTCCTCCTCGTCCCGCTACTCGTCTTTTGTTTTTGTTAACGACGTCCTCCTTCCCTGGTTTTTGTTTTTTTTTTTGTTTTTTTTTTGTCCTATCAATCAATCAATCAATCAATCAATCAACCAATCGATCAATCAATCGATCGATCGATTGATCGATTGATCGATTGATTGATTGATTGATTGAAAAAAGAGCGGGCAAAAAAAAAAAAAAAAAGCGGGGCAGGAGGAGGCCATGGCGATGGAGAAGGAGGAGGAGAGAGAAAACTTAACGGATGAAGAAGAAGAGGAGGAGGAGAAGGAGGAGGAGGAGGAGGAATAAGTAGAAGAGGAGAAGGAGAACTAGGAATAGGAAGATGAGGAAGAAGAGCAGGAGGAAGAAGAGGAAGACGAGGAGGAGGTGGAGGAGGAGGAGGACGCGGACGAGGAGGAGGAGGAGGAGGAGGTGGAGGTGGAGAAAGAGGATGACGACAACGAGGAGGAGGAAGAGGAAGATGAAAAGGAGGGTGAGGAGAGGAGAAGTGAAAGGAGGAAGATAAAAGAAGGGGGAGAAGGAGGAGGAGGGTGGACGAAGGGAGGTGACTCATGTGATGTGGGTGGAAGATGGCGCGTGGGTTGCGCTCGTCGACCTCGGAGTTTGGCAATGGCAACACCGAACTCCGAAGACAGCGCGCGGGCCGAGATTCACGGGGGAGAATGCCACTGCCCCCATTTCGAATTTGAAAATAGCCCAATCTGGGCAGTCGATCTCGCAGATCTGCCAACCCAGATTAGGCATTTTTTTTTCGTTTTTGGAAGCCCTACCGGCCTCCACCAATGTTTCTCGTCAGCGCCCCAGGTTCGCCTGTCCCTGCAGTCCACCCTTGTGCCGCCCAAGTCCGTGTCCTAACCCCCCCCCCCACTATTTTTTTTTTCGATCGGACGTGGGGCCCCGGGCAGCCGATCGGCCGGTTGTCCGATCGGACAGTCCTGAATGGTCAAGGGGGTCCCGGACGTCCGATCAGGTAACATAGGTTCGGGGTAAAATTGTATAATTTCGAAAAGGGGTGACTAATTCCGAGTAAAAGAGATAAATTCAGTCGTGAACTAATCGGGTTTAATCGACATTAATTAAGGAGTTCAGGGGAAAAAAAAAAAAAAAAAAAAGGACGTACTTCTGAAAAAAGGAGACCAAAAAAGAATTGCGAAAAAGAATTTTTTGAATTTCAACAAAAATTGCAAAAAGGAATATGTAAATTAAAATACTGAGAAAAAGAACTAATTAGAATTATTTTTGAATTTCCAAAAGAAATATCGAAAAAGAATTTAATTAATTCTAACATATTTTCGAAACTTTCAAAAAAGAATTAATTAATTTGAACGAAAAGAATTAATTCTAAAATATTTTTGAATTGCAAGAATTTCAAAAAAGAATTAATTAAAATGATTTTCGAATTTCGAAGATGATATGCCGAGAAAGAATGCGTACTCCTATATATTTCTGAAACTTTTGAAAACGAAAATATTTTTGAGAAAGAAATGTCGAGATAGATAATTGATTGATTATGTTCAAATTTTCACAAATTTTAAATGAATTCTAGGAAAATAATAATAATAATAATAATAATAGTAATAATAAATAAATAAATAAATGAGTTTTGATGTAAATCGAGGGCGGAGCGATCCTATCTACGATTGAATGGGTGGTAGTGTGGTAGGTAGGGTACGGGTAGATTGATGATGATGATGATAATGATGATGATGATGATGATGGTGGGGGGGAAACGTGGGGGGGGGGAAGTCGCGCGCGGGTTGTGCGTGGGAGAAAGTCGGTGGGAGGAGGGGAGCGACGGGGGGGGAAAGATCGCGCAGGGGAAGAAGCGCGCGCGCTGGAGGTAGCGGCGCGCGGGGAGAGAGGTGCGTGGGGTATCGCGCGGGTGGTGGGAAGAAGGTGGGGGAAGCGGGAGCGGGGTCGGGAGCGGGAAGACAGGACGAAGGTGGGGGAGCGGGATCGAGATAGGGGAGACAGGAAGAAGTTGGGGAAGAAGATAGCGCGGGGGTCGGGAGTCGGGGGATCGCACAGGGAATCAAGGTCGGGGAATCAGAGTTGGGAAGGGCGGGGGGGTTCAGCGCGGGGGATCGCAAAGTCGCTGGAGGGAGGCCTGGGAGGGGAGTGGGATTGGGTAGGCAGCGGGGGGGAATAGCGCGCGGGAAGAGAGGTGGAGATGGCGCGTGGGAGGAAGGGGGAATGAAGACGAGGAAGAAGAAGACGAAGAAGGAGGGATAACGACGGCGACGAGGAGACGGAAGAAGAACAGGGGGGAAGGAGGGTTGAAGAGGACGAGAAAGAACAAGAATCGAGGCAGGAAAGGAGGAGGGAGGAGGAAAGGAAGCGATGACGACGATGACGAGGGGAAGAAGAAGAAGAAATGAGGGGGGAGGAGAAAAAAAGAAAGTTTATTGGTCACTTACCTGCGTGTCGGCTTCGGGATCGGTGGCGTTGCAGCAGCGACGAGGGGGGCAGCAAGGTGCTGACGTGGCAATGGCAACGACAGAGGGTACGAGGTGCTGACGTGGTAGTGATGACGACAACGAAGACGACGTCGATGGCGATGATGTGGCAACAACAGCGACGAGGTCGACGACAACGACGATGACGTGGCAACGAAGGCGACGATGATGGAACAAGGGGGGAGGGAGGGTCGAAGCCGCTCCGATACCAGTGTGACGAGGCAAAGGCAGAGAGAGAGAGGGAGAGTGAGAGCACAAACACACTCACTCAACTCGACGTAGACTCGACACGACTCGACGGACGCAGACACAAAGTGGCAAAGTCGCAGTCTTGGATTTCCGAACACAATGTCGAAGCAAGTCGCACTGAAGCACAAGCACTGAGGACGAAAATTGAATGCCCGTACTGGGCTCGAGTCCGGTCTCAAGTACCGGACTCAAGTTCAGTCTGGAGAGTAGAAGTGCCATTGCCTCAAGACTGAACTGAGAATCGAAAGTCTGAGTCAGGGCGCCAGAATGTCGGATGGTGCCAAGTGTCGAAATCCGAAAAGTGCCACAGGAGGGATTTGAAAACGGGCGCCAACTGCAGAGGGCGCCAACAGTCAGAAACCGAAGAGCAGGAAATCAAAAAGAAAAATAATAGCAGGTTGGCGGGCGTGGACCAGGGATCGAGCTCTGGCTGAGTCCGTAACATATATGGTGATTTTTGGGTGTTTCACAGTGTGATGAGAACAATCCGATGTGTGATTGATGTTGAGGTGGAAAGGTGGTGTAATGTTGGTTGTGCCGAAGCAGCATTTGGTCATCACAATCAACATTGGGTCATCTGGTGAGAATATTTGTGGTTGGGGGCAGCTATTTTGAGGTACGTTGCACCTAACCTTATCTACCCTCTTCGACACTTCTTACCATGAGGATGTGTGTTCTGTCTTGAGAGTCCTCTCATTGTGAGGAGTCGAGTGCGCTCAACCTTTAGAGTCGACATTGTTCTTGTGGAGCATGTGGAAGGAGAGGGCGGACCTATCTGAAGGGCCCTGGACGAAGCATTGGGTCACAGTCACCATGCCAACCCACCGGGAGTAGAGCACACATGCTTTGCTGCTTTGTCCTTTGTGTTACATGCTGCGCCTGCACACGAGGGCCATTTTCCAGGCCTTGCATCCCTCAGGCTGAAAGCCTGAAAACCAAGGCCTACAGGCCCCGTGTCTGTTTCAGCCTGACAGCCTGAAAACCAGGGCCTACAGGCCTCGTGTCTGTTTCAGCCTGACAGCCTGAAAACCAGGNCCGTGTCTGTTTCAGCCTGACAGCCTGAAAACCAGGGCCTACAGGCCTCGTGTCTGTTTCAGCCTGACAGCCTGAAAACCAGGGCCTACAGGCCCTGTGTCTGTTTCAGCCTGACAACCTGAAAAACACGGCCTACAGGCCCTGTGTCTGTTTCAGCCTGACAACCTGAAAACCAGGGCCTACAGGCCTCGTGTCGTTTCAGCCTGACAGCCTGAAAACAAGGGCCTATAGGCCCTCAGGCTTTACCCAGAAGCTACCTGGAACTTTTCCGGAAGCTTCCTCAGGGTCTAGCACGTTTGGGCATTGGCAAGAGCAGCCTCCTGGACGGGCCAGCACTATATAAGACTGGCCCGCCCTACAGGCAGAAGGGAGTCTTCAGGATTCGGCAGGAACACTCTGGAGGACCGTTGCAGGAGTATAAGCGCTAGCAGTAGTCTTCTGCGCTGGGCGATTTGTAGCGTTAGCAGTAGTCTTCAGCATTGGGAGCCATAACTCGAGTAGTACTAGAGAGAGAGAGATTGGGCGAAGGTCAGGGATACTTACCTGCAGCGCCGTTGCTCCAGCTTCATCTTCGAGGTACCTGCAGCACAGCGCCATCTTCACAGGTCAGTACCTGACACATGAGAGAGAGAGAGTTCTTCTTCTTCCTCTTCTCAGTCCACCATCTCCTTCTCACCCTCCTGCTATCTGACTTCACATCATCAACAGACTACGAGAGAGCTTGGTGACATTTGGATCCAGACTCGACATTGGACTTTAGACATATCGAAGAGAGATTATTAGGGATTTGAAACGAGACTTGGTGTTGACGACTTTTCCATCTCCCCCTTCCTCTTCTTCGTCTGATCCCTTCCTCTTCGTCTGTGTATGTCTGGACCTGGCGCCTCTTTCCTGTGTATAGTGCCAGGCTCCTTCACACCTTGGGATGGACATGATGCATGTTTGGTCTGCGTTTAAACATTGATTGGGCTAGTTATTTGCATTCTAGCATTCTGCTTCGCTATCTTGTGCTACGTGAATGAGGTCAATCCCGGTCAGGTCAGGACTTGTATCTAAAGTCTTCCCTCCGCTATAAAAACACCATTTTGTATGTATCGGAATGCACATTGCTTGTTGAGATTCTACCTGGACTGCATTGTCCATTCAGTCCTTTTTATCACATTGCGGATCCTCGGTTATTATGTACATCGCCCAACTGGGCATGTAACAGTTGGTATCGGAGCTTCGCACGTGAATCAGGACAACCTGATCTGACACGTGTGCGGGGACTGAGTAGCTGATTAGTCTTGATTGATTGATTAGAGCCACTAGTTAGCCCCCAAAATCACGATTTCGACCTCACTGTCAAAAATCAATTTTTTTTTTCTTTTCTTAGATTTTGTTTTCTCACTATCTCTGTTGTGGAAAATTGCAATAGCACAACATCTCAAATTTTCGATTTCGTTTTTCTTCTGAAAATTCGAAATTTCGTTGTTGAAAATCCGGAATATCTTTTTTTCGAAAATTTTGATTTCCTGTTGCAATTTCCCGTTATTTAGAAAATCCGAAATATTTTTATTCCGAAATCCATTTTTTTTGAAAACGGTACGGGAATCCCTCTTGCAGTTAGCATTCTCCACCTGCGCGTACTCTCATCAATGTAATTCCGAAATTTTTTTGTACTTCATTTTCAGAATTCTTTTATCAGAAAATCCTTTGCGGTCTGAAAGTTCAAAATTTTCTCATCGATAATTTCGCACTTCAAGGGACTTGGGAGGCCTACTAAACTTGCAAACGAGTATTTTTTTCTTTTTCTCGAATTTTTTGCAAAGTTCAAACTTTTCTTTTTTGATTAGTGGCTCCTTATCTGGGCGATTTATCCCAGTTGCCCCATCTGGTCTTCTCTCTATCTCCCTCCGGGTACTCCCTGCGGCGACATTGGTGAGTTGCCACATTAGCAGGCCACGTCAGCAGTACACGGCAGTAGTGCCACGTCAGCAACTAGTCACTGCAGCAGCAGGTCACGTCAATGCATGGTGCTCACCCGCTCAAAGACAAGCGGCATGGAGCAACAGCCAGGCGAGACCACTGAGGCCTATCAGGCCCGCATGCTGGACATGGTAGCAGAGTACAAGCAACGGGCAGCTGCGACAACATCCGCACGTAAGAAGGAAGACGAGGAAGCAGAGGAACAACGTCGCCTCGCTGAACAGCAGCGACAAGCGGACGCTGAGGCAGCAGCGACGGCCGCAAACGAACGCCGTCGACTACGCCGAGACAAAGTCCTCGAATGTGAGGGGGATATCGAGGTGATCGCCGACGAATGGGTAGTGGCTGCTGAAGAGGAGGGTGCCCCCTCTGCTGTGCGTGGCCTTGCAACCACAATCGAACATGTGAGTGACTTAGTCGCCACCTGTGCAGCACAACAAGAGGACATCCTCTGCATGGACATCCTGGTCTGGAAGCAGATTCGAACTATTGATGAACTGTTGGACCGGGTACGCCGGCTGGAACAGCAGCTTGCAACAGCCACCCCCGCCGGACCCTCCAACTTGACAGATCGCGTCAACGTTTTGGAAATCGACGTCGAGACTCTCAAGGACAGCGCGTTAACGACAAATCAGCGGATTGACCAGCAGATTTGCGCTGCCACAGCCAGTTCAACCGCGACGAATCGCGAGAGCGTTCCGAAGTTTGACGGCCTCCCGATCTTCTGCGATGCAACAAAGACGGACCCGATCCCATTGTGGCGCCAATTTGAGCTGAAGTTGGACATTCACCACGTCATCAACCCGAACCGGCATGCATACTTATACTCCCGTTCGGGAGGCGCGTGCCAGGCATGGCTGGACAACATGTTGTCCACGCACAACGTCCCAGTCTACGAGTTGCATACAAAGATCAGCTGGGCTGATCTCAAGGCAGCATGGCATAAGCGGTTCCAAGTGGAGCCGACCGAGCTTCAGGAAGCCGAGAAACTTCAACGGTTCTATCAGAACGAACTGCCAAGCACGGACGGGATCACCGAGTACCAACGCTTAGCATCCACGCCCAACTTGTCGTCGACATTCGTCGCTATCAAGCACTTCTTCATCAAGAGGAGCTGCCCGGCGTTGCAGAACGCCTTGACGCAAGTTGCGGAGACACTCACCACAAGCGAGCAGCTTTTTGATAAAGCCTCGCAGATCATCCTGACGAACATCGAGGCCAAGAATTTGGGCCATTCGTCTGTTGCAGGCCAGGGCAGAGGACAGCATCGGTCGAAAGTGGCCGTGGTTGCAGCAACTACAGCAAACAACATTCCAAACGAGGCTGCCTCTTTTGAGGAAGGAGACAGATTGGCAGCCGCCCGGGATGGTGGCCGCCCCGCCAGAGGGGGAGGACGCTGCAAACCGAAGACACACCAATTCAGCCCCCGGGGCCGGACCAGCGGCTCAAGAGCCTTGGACACATTACGGTATCTCAAAAGGCGTGTACCACATCCGGTCTAAGTACCGATACTGCTTGTGGTGCAACAGCGCGGTGCACGACACCACAACGTGCCCCACACCGGTCCAAGCCAAATCCCCTTCGGGAAAGTGAGCACCGTCGAGAGTGATACGACTGCACTCTCGACGCCTTCGGAATCGGTTGCTTCGCGAGCGACCTCTCTTCATTCCGAGGCACATGCGAAAGTCGACAATCCTCTCTTGTATTCTTATGAGGACTATGCTGCCCGACTCGTTCCTTCGTTGGGTTCTCAAGCTCAAGGACAAGATGTGTGTGCGGCTTCTTCTCCGTCCGACAACAACAACAATAGATCGTCTTCAAGTGGCTCTTCAAGGGATTCGACGCACGAGTTCAACATAGAGGTCTTGGACCCGTTGACGTCCAAGGACTTTACATGGCTTCCTCTCCCTTCCACAAGCTGCTTGCCGGGACCGCAATGCGCAGCACTATGCGCCCATCTCCACACATACTTAGCCTTCTATGCACCACCATCTTCGCCGACGGATGACGAAGCTGAGGTGGGGGACATCCTTGCGTATGTTACCAAGGTGGCCCGCGAGTTTCACATGCAAGGGTACGATGATAACAACGCACCGCTCCTTTATGTCCGCATCCAAGTTGGGCAAGCGTCCTGCAACGCTTTGCTGGATAGCGGCGCGACTCGCAATTTCATCAGTTGTCCTTTATCCAAAGAGCCGGCCTTGGCACTCACGTTCGAAGGAAGCCAAACCCGACGGCGATCAAGTTGGCAGATGGTCGGACGCAACAACTCCTCGGTCGCTACATTGAAGCCGTGCCGGTTTATTTCGCACCTCATGCCTGCGAACCGGTGAAGTTTGACGTCTTGGACACAAACTTCGACATTATATTGGGGATGCCTTGGCTTGCAAGTGCGGATCACACGGTTAACGTCCATCAGCGGACACTTACCATTCGCGATGCCTTCGACGCCGAGGTGCCGTGTACCATTTCTCTTCCTCACTCCTCGATCCGGTGCCACGTTGTAACGGCCAAGTCTTTTCGGGCCACTTGCGCTTACGAGCGGACCAACGAGATAGGCCTATGTTTTCTATGAGCTGCCGCGGCGACCGAATCTTCACCTACGGACTTGTCTTCGGACCACCGAGTGGTGTGGCTGCTCGACGAGTTCACCGACATCTTCGAGTCCCCTACCGGTGTGGTGTCGGATCGACCGATCTCCCACAAGATCATTCTTGAGGCCGGTGCCGTGCCGCCGAAAGGATGCAACTATCGCATGAGCGAGGAAGAACTCGAGGTTCTCTGCGCTCAACTCGACGATCTTTTGGACAAGGGCTGGATCCGCCCTAGTAGCTCACCATACAATGCGCCAGTTCTCTTCGTAAGGAAGAAGAACAAGGATCTTCGCTTGTGCATCACCTACCGCAAGCTCAACGCACAAACCGTCAAGAATGCGGGACCTCTTCCGCAGATTGACGACCTTCTCGAGCGTTTGTGCGACGCAAAATTCTTCTCAAAGTTGGACTTGAAGTCTAGCTACCATCAAATCTCGATACGCGCGCAAGATTGCTACAAATCCGCGTTCAAGACGTGGTACGGGTATTTTGAGTGGATTGTTATGCCGTTTGGCCTCACCAATGCCCCGACGACCTTTCAAGCGGCAATGACCAACGAGTTCCGTGCGATGCTAGACCGGTTTGTACTAGTCTACTTAGACGACATTCTCGTCTATAGCCGAACATTGGAGGATCATCTTGAGCACCTTCGACGAGTGTTGGAGACACTCCACCGCGCCAAGTATAAAGCCAACCGCGACAAGTGCGAATTTGTCTGGCAAGAGCTGGAATACTTGGGCCATTTTGTCACACCAGACGGCATTAGTCCGTTGTCAGACAAGATTCAAGCCATCCAAGAGTGGGTGGAGCCGAAGACCGTCACAAATGTCCATTCCTTCCTTGGCTTAGTCGGCTACTATCAACGCTTCATCAAGGGATACTCGAAGATCGCGGCTCCTTTATCCAAGCTTCAATGCGAGGACCGACCATTCGACTTCGACGACCATGCGCAGACTTCATTTTTGGCTCTCAAAGCCGCATTGCTATTTGCGAAGGTGTTGCGCATCTACGATCCGCTTTTGCCGACACGTGTCACTACCGATGCGTCCGGCTACGACATTGGTGTCGTCCTCGAGCAACATGACGGTGTGGACTGGCACCCGATCGAGTACTTCAACAAGAAAGTTCACTGATTGACGACGCACGGGAGAAGGAATTGTTGGCCTTCGTACACGGGCTCAAACGCTGGCGGCATTTTCTTCTCGGTCGACGGCAGTTCCGATGGGTAACAGATAACAATCCATTGGTCTTATACAAGACCTAAGACACAGTCAATAGCACCATTGCCCGTTGCATGGCCTTCATCGACCAGTTTGACTTATTCCCCGACCACATTCCGGGCAAGTCAAACAGTCTTGCGGATGCTCTTTCACGACGTCTGGACCATTGTACCGCAGTCTACTCGACTTTTGAGATTGACAACGACTTGTGGTGTCGAGCGCATCGGCCCCCACACGAGCGAGGGCCCTCCCGGCCACGTCACGCAGGAGTTACACATTAAAACAAAACACAGAGACAACTTCGGGACGACGTGAGGTAGTTTCCGCGAGCCGCCGAGGCAGTGCACGGTCGCGTCGTCCCTTCGCCGCTCTAGCCGGGTGCGCCAGCTTGTACATCCCGCGGTCTCCTACGACAGAATAGGTTCCCGCGGGGCAGAAACTTGCTTCCCTAAGGGGTTGTCACCACCCTTAGGGGCGTATCCCTACCGAGCTACTGACCCACGTGCGAAAGCTTTTACATGCAGTTGCAAAGGTGGGTCAGCCGAGGGCGTTTGCTCGCACGCTGTAATATAGGTATACGTTATTAAACGCCTGTTGAACCCGAACGTTGTCCATCACTTAGCGCACTGATTTCCTAAGGATGAAGCTTACGCCGGTCGACTAGAGCAGTCTCGGTCAAGTATAGAAACCAACAACAACTTGACCCTAGTCCCTTGCACACAATTTTCGCATACAAATATAGGTGTATATATAATTTATTCAGACGAAATCGCCAAGAATAATACACATGAAGTCACTCTTTCAAATCAACCAACTTAATAATTATAGCACAACTCTTTAATGGGTTTGGTCTGACGAAAAAGGATCATGCTATCGTGTTTTCCTACTCATCGTCCATATGGTCGACAC